CCCGTTTTCCACCCCACCCCTCTTCCCCAGCCACCCTCCCTCTTCAACTCCCTCCGGCTCGCCCAAAGGGCGACAGCTGATCGCTCTGTTGGGACAACTTCCACCCCGCCGCCCGCTGCCCCGCCGGAGCAGGGCAACTATAAAGGCTTGTCATCTTTACGTTAGCTCAGCGTAGTGGGCCGTCCAAAACGAAGGTGGTGTGGTTGGTACTCGTGGCGGTATTGCCGTTAGGTCTGGAAGCGTTTAAGTACTGCAACAACAAAACCCTGCTGTGCTTGAATCACTTTTTCTGGTTTGGTGCAGTGCGCACCGCGGGTCCGTTAGAGAAGACACTGCTGTGTTGCGGGTTTGCCTACTCTAACTCCCTCCCTCCCAAGACGCCATAGCTCCTGCGGCTCCAGCGAGTAAGCCCTGCAACACTGTACAGTGTTCGCTCTGAAGCACCCGGTAGTTACTAATTCTCCGTACAGTACATGGCGACCTCAGCTTGGTATAAGCCGCATGCTTTACTCCAGCGGCACGGAAAATATAAATAAGTTAACTCGATCAAAGTACTGGACTTCTACAACTTAGGTATTGGCCGTCAGAGCTGACTTTCAGACGAGGGGCACAAACCTTTTTTAAATGAATCTTGTCCCCCTAATTCCATTGGTTCCAATTGATTTCAATATGATTTTAACGGAATTTCAATAGGATTTCAGTATGATTTCAATAAGATTTCAGGTTATTTCACAGGCTTCACGTACCGGTGTGTATCACAGTTAACGTCCCAGTGTTGCGGATGTTCACAACCTCATGGACCGCATATGGGCCATGGCGCCATACTGGCGGAGGGATTAGGCAAGCCCTCAACACCTTGGGGTTCCCTCTAGAGGAAACCCAGTACACCTGATTTGAAGCGTCGTGTGCACCCGCCTTCAGACAAAACAGCTGGATGAGTCCGGACATTTGGCGGCGGAAACTGAACGTGTTATTTTAGTCGCGCATCACTGCGCGGCTTCATCATGCCTTCCAGCCACGCTCCCGCTCCATGGACAGGAAATTAAACGCGAAGCTCCACAAGCCCTCCCCTCCTCCTGCTGCTCTATCTGCGGAACACCATCTTCCCGTTCTCTTCTGACGTCCGCCCTGTTGTTGTTGTTGCAGATATCTGCGCCCATGTGCGCGTCGGGGTAGCGCGGGCCCGGGCTGGGGCCCACCGTGCCCATGGACCTGGACGAGCCGGAGCCCCCCGAGCCCGAGGAGGGCTGCGCCGGGGGGCGCGGGCTGGAGCCGAGGCTGGAGCCGAGGCTGAAGCTGCAGGGATGGCGGCGGCCGCGGGCGCTGGCGGGCTGCCTGGCCGGGCTGCCGCTGCTGCTGTTCCTGCTGCTGCTGCCCGGCGGCCTGGCGCGGCCCGAGGCCCTGCAGCCCCAGGTCATGCACCCCCAGCTGGTGGTGCCTGGCCAGCAGGCGGCGGGCGTCTCCGTCGACGCCGGCGACGTGTACGCGCCGCCCGCGGCCGGCGGTGAGGGCGACGCCGCCGGCGGCTCGTCGACGACCGACGGCACCCCGACGGCGGAGCCACCCCGGGTCATCCGGCGCTACACGGTCGCGTCCGTCGAGTTCGAGCGCGTCGAGACGCCCTTCCTCATCGGCCTGTGGATCTTCTGTGCCAGCCTCGCCAAGATCGGTGAGTTGATCCAATGGTAGACGTAGACACCTTCCCCGGGACTCAGTATACGACGTCTTGCGAAGTATATTTGCTTTCTGCCTGTGGCGCCTTACAGCCACTGAATAGGCAATCAGCACGCTTGCGTGTATTGCGGTACGGCCTTCGGTAGTCGTGCCTTACGGCCACTAAATAGGGAATCACCCAGAAAGTACGTCCGTCATTCGCCGTTACGCATCCTCCAAGTTAAGGCAATGCAGCTCTTATGGCGCCTGATAGGTAGGCACAATCTTGAATGCAGTGCATGCGTGTATTGCTGGGTGGCCAACCCCAAGTTTCGCAGGCGCCGAGCTTCTGTAATTTGTAGGATGATTTTGAGAGAAACGGACGTATTTTCTGAACGATCCCTAGGCAACCAACGCAGTGACATGCGTGTCGTACAGTATAACCACGACAATAGGTGAAGCGAATCAGCCAGCAACCTAGTATATATCAGGTGAGGAATTAAATTACCTAAGTCTGTGTTGCCAGTAACCGTTCGTATTAAAAAAGAAATATGTGTTTTCTTAATAATTGGCACATGCGAACGCTAACGAGCAAGTCGAGGACGTAGTGTACCGCGTGTATCTTTGAATGCGCTCTTGAGTTTTGTGGGTTTGCTTACTCCCTTCGCTCGTAAGGCGCCATGGTCCCTCCCGAACCTATTGACTATGCAATCCCGCAACACGAGATTGGCATTCCAGTACAAATTTACAGGTGTCCCAGTTTATGTGAACTTCCGAACGTCTTAACCCCCTTTGAACTTGAACTTGAAGGTGACCCGTGTGCACTCAAAGACACACTCGGTACCCCGCGGCTACCCCTCCTGCCACCGAGGAGGGTTGTTGTAGGGAAGAACTGTTAAAGACGTTATATTTCCTTGTACAGTGCTTGTCTCCTTCGACACCCCCCCCCCCGGTCGCCCCTCGCAGCAATTACAATCATCGGCGAGAAAGTATATTTACACCCTTGGGAAGGCGGGTGAACTCCAAGGCAAAGGTCACGCCACGACCAACGACCACGTGGGGCTGTGCTACGGTGCTGCGGCGCTGCGGGGGTGGGCCGCGCGGCCGCGCGTGTGCGTGTGGCGACCATAGCTCGCCGCCGCCGCCCCGCGCCAGCCGGGGCCCCGCCGGGACAAGCAGAAGCCCCTGGGAAGACAAACTGGGGGCGAGCGCAGCAAAGAGGAATAGGAACTGAGCGCCCGGCCCCGCAGCCCCGCGCCGCCCTCCGCGTCGTCGTGGCGAGCGATCGATGTCCGACGGGAACGCCTGCGTGCCCCGCGCGTCCGCCGCCCGCGGCCTCGTCGGGGCCGCCGCCGGCTGATTTCCTTATCCGCGGTCCGGCGGCGGCGGCGGCTGCTGGGCTCGGCTGACAAAGCTCGCCGCCGCGTGTCTCCCGCGAACCGATGATGTTCGCGGAAAAGTCCGGCGTCTTCCGTCGGCGCCAGCCTCCCTCTGGCGTTAGGCGAGGGGAGAGAGGCGGGCTGCCCCCTCCACGAGGGGGGAGGCCTGAAAGGTTCGGGATCGACCCCGCCCCTCCTCCCCGCCTCCCCGAGCCTGCCGGAGGGTAGCGGGACAAAGCGGGGACTATTCAGGGGCGGGGGCGAAATTGCTGCTCGGGCACAAAGCGCAAAGCAATGGATGACTTCTTGTTTCGTTCGCCCGGCAGGAAACCTCGCTCAAACTCATTTCGGCACACTGTACAGATTGTGGGTGTGACTAATTTATTACGCCAACAGCCGCAGCCACCATCAGCGAGCGAGTCCGGTGACACGGGGGACCGGGGGGGGGGGGGCATGCCTCGTCAGGACAGGATAGCCAGGAATTTAAATATTTAAGTTTGGCTGTTGCGGCGTTGCCGTACTGTACAGTGGGCGGAGAGGATAAGGGGGGGGGGGGCGTCCGCGCCGTACGCAGAGCAGAGGGTCTGCAGCGCGCCGGCGTCACCCGTCACGGCCGTCACCCCCGCCCTCCTCGGTGTCACTCGCGCGCCGCGTCGGGCCCACTCAGCCGTCCCTCCCAGGGCCCCGGCCCGCGGGCTCCCCCGGCTTTGGGCACGGCCCTGGTCCCGGCCGTGACGGGGACCGGCAGGGAGTGTGCCGGGCTGGGCCGGGGCGGGGCGGGGCGGGCCCCGGTGTTACATGTCCTCCTCGAATGGGGCCGCGGACCATCGATCTATTCCAGAACGATTCGCAGGGCATGCCGGCGGTGGCGGGCGCGGCGGCCTGGAGCCTCCCGCCCGGGGCGGGGCGGCGCAGGTTAAGCGGCGGGTGGGTACTGCAGGAGGTAGCGGCTCACCCCAGCCCCTCGCCCTTGATCCCCGCCCCCCATCCCCCATCCCACACCCCCTTTCCCTACCCCTCCTCTCCCCAGGCCGCTCAATGGAAGTGGTCCCCAAGGTGCGACTGGCGGCTTGTGTGTGGTGCTGCCCGCGGGCTTAGTTGGTCACGGCCAGCAGCGCCCTCGTCGGCCGGCGCCCGGGCGTTGTTGGCGTGTCCGGCCCAAGCCTAGGCCTGATTGCGCCGGAGGAGAGGGTGAAAGGGGGGGGGGGCGTCTGGGCTTGGTGTTGGTTCGACTCAGGTTCGACTGGGCGGGCGGGGAGGGCGCCACCCCCGCACCCTACCGCCGCCTCAGGCATCTCTTGCATCCTCTGCCCCCGCCCCCTTCCACCCGCCTTTCGGGACGCGTCGTGGAGGCAGGGCTGCTGCTTTTGCCAATGTCCTGTCCCAGTTTCGCGCTCCTTCTCTTGTTGTACTCTGCGCGGCGCTCGCTTCATCTCCGAGGGGAGGGCGGCGGCGGCGAGTGCGGGCCTTCGACGGGCGCCTTTCTCTCCCCTTCCCCCCGCTCCCACCGCGCCGCAACCAGGTGACTGCGCTGGGCCCCAATAACGACCGCCCACCCCCGCATGCCGACGAAATACCAAGGCGCACAAAAAAGACTCACGGCCTTGGCACTCTTGCGTAGAGCGACTCACGCACGCACGCACGCACGCACACCGCGCACGCGCGCAGGCGGGCGGGTGGGGCGCTATGAATAGCGGCATCTGTCAGGAGGAGTGCACGTGCACCGGGCTGCCCTGCGTGCGCGGCGCGCACAGCCCCTCTCACCTGCACTATGCACGCCCGCGCCAGACACGCCGCCGCTCTGTTTGAAGCCACGCCAGCCGGCTCTCCCCCTCCCCGCCCCCGTCCCCTTCGCGGGGTCAGATCAGCAGTCCCTCGCCCCCTCAATGAACACGTACACTCTTGACCTGCGATGACACCCCTCCCTCCCTCCCTCCCTCCCTCCCTCCCTCCCTTCTCCCCGATCCCCCGTGCGCTAGGGGGTACTCGAGCGCAGACGGCTGGGCCCGCGCGCTGGCTGACACGCGAGTGCATCCCCCTTCCCCACTCCCGCTCCCTGACCCTCACCATGATGTAGGCACCCTCCCCCCTTCCCCTTCCCGGCTATTGAAATACCGCGGCTGCTCTACCGCATCCAGTGGTGACCAGCTTGCCCGCGCGGAGGCTGGGGGAAAGGGAGGGGCGGCAGGGGCTGCAGTGACACAACCCTCCTATTTTTGTCGAGTTGGCAAGAGGTGATAACCCCACGACTGTTCTGCAGACGCGGCCGCAGCCCGCCGGGGTGGGGGTCCGCATCGCAGTCCGCGCCGCCTACAGCACATGGCGTGGTAGGCCCCTGAGGGGGGGAGGGAGGCCAACGCCCCTGTGGGTAAACGCCCATCCATCAGAGCGAAAACATTTTCCCAGGCTAGAGAAAGAAATGCTTTGCTGCCTCTGTCGCCGATGTGGGGGTGGACCCTTGCCCCTTGCCCAGATCGCGCCGACCCCTGCGCTGCCGTTCCTGTGGGCTTGATGCGATGTATTTCCGCTGCTGCTCTCGATGTTATTTTTCCCTCAGCCACGCCGCCGGTCCTCTGGGTCCTAGCCTAGTCTTCCTCGAGACGCTTGCCCGCTGACCCGCTTCTGCCCCCACCCCTCGGCCCCCACACTTTCCACCTCGCCCGGCCCCCACACTGCGTCGCACCCACACTGATCTACATTTCCCACGACCAAAAATAAAGTGAAAAAGAAATAGCTAGTCGATATTGCTACGGTGGCTGCGTCAGAGGTTTCCGATGCCGGGCCGGGCCGGCGCCTACAGGGCCTTGTACCCCCTTCGTTCCCTTCCCCCCATAATTTGGCCCCTCCTTCGCACCCCCCAGCCCAGCCCCACCCCCGCGCGCATCCAGTCTGACAGGGTAGAAAATCAATCGGCGGGTCCACTTTGTCGTGTTTCGCAGATTGCCGGCCGGCAGGGCGGGTGGAGGCCGTCCTGGCGCAGGCTGAGGCGCAGTGATTGGCGGCTTGGGGTGGGGCGTGGGGCATGGGCGAGGCGTGGGGCTTTTGGGCGGGGCGTGGGGCGAGGCCTGGGGCGGGGCGTGGGGTGTGGTGTGGGGCGCGGCTTGCCCGGCGTGGTGTGTGGTGTGACCCACAGCGTGGGGCGCGGCGTGGGGCGTGGTGCGGGGGGTGGCGTGCCCGGCGTGGGGTATGGTGTGGCGCACAGCGTGGGGCGCGGCGTGGGGCACCACTGGGGGCCCCACAGCGTGAAGGGGTGTTTGCGTATTCATAGCGCGCGCTGCCGCGGCCACCTGGTCCCGCGCGGGCTGCAGCGAGCGGTTCGCATGAGCACACACAAATTAATTTTGTGCCAATTCCACGCGTCCCGTTGTGTAGCGGCTGCTGCTGCTGCTGCTGCTGTGGCGAAGCGAGTTGGAGCCGGAGGCCTCCGCCGCCGCCGCCGGTCACTCGAGGGCGGTCGAGAGGGACCTAATGGGCTGCTCGGCGGGGTGATGGAGAGCTCATAATTGATGCTGTAAGGGGTGCTATCAAACGCCTTATGGCCCCCGCGCGCGGTGGCGGGTGGCGGGTGCCTGCCTACCGCCTGCCCCGCCCACCCAGGAGGGGCGCGCGCTGGCTTGTACTCAGTGACCGTGAACGC